CCTTTGTTTGACAGAGATAGCTGGAGAGAGACAGGAGACGACATGCAGCAAAGGGCCGCAGGTCGGACTCGAACCCGGGCCGCTGCGTATATGGGTCGCCCATCTTTGGTGGTTTTTGACTGGACACGCGTACTAACTGGGATGACACAGGGTTTACTCCGAGGGGCTTCGGTTCGCCCACATTTTAAACTATAATGAAAGAAAAAAGTGGAAAAAAGAAAAAAGAGCGCTCACTGTGTTGGCGTGGGTTTTCCCCGAGTAGCTTCGGTTTCCTCCCACATTTTAAAAAATAAACAATTGAGCCCCCCCAAAATAAATAATCTAAAATAAAAACAAACAATATAACATAGAACAAACAATCCGTCTGATAAGAGTCTCACTATGAACTACTGGAAACAGTAAATGTTTTATACTTACATGTACTACTCCGAGCAGGTTGATCAGATCCAGCTGATGATGTGTAATAAAACACGTTGAAGCGTCTTTGTGGCGTTGAATTAAGATGTATTATCACCAAACTTCACTCGTCTGATGAGATATTCTCTACTTTTTTTCTTCTGTGTTAAATGTTTTACTGTTTAAGCTGGTTGTTTTTTCGTTTATCTGAATCTTTATGCTGCTGAGACAGGATTCCCTGGTAAAATAAAATAATTGGGAATTTTCCTTCTTATCCTTTAGTTGGAATTAAGTCAAGTGATTTTTTAAAACGCAAACAGGCCTAAAGGAAGCTGCTGTGACCCATTAAAGTGAAGCTAAAGTAATTCAGTTGACCCTCCGTGTGTCGGTGACATTAAAAGACATTTTAAAAGGAAAGAGTCACCATGTTGGAGGAGTGAGAATAACTGAACTCAGCTTCAACATTGGTCAGTACACTCTAAAGACAATGAAAAGTTATCATTATCAGTTATTTGTTGTCTGATTTCGATTTGCAGCTTTAATTGTTGTTAATATTATTGTTCAATTATTTAATACATTTCAGTTGCGAGTGGGTTTCCCTCCTTTGTAGGTAGCTAACAGCAGGAAACTCAGGATTGTATTCAAACCAAAGTCAGAAAACCCGATAATGCAAAAGTATCCAGTGACAAGAACCAAGAAAACAAAGAATAAATCCACAAAATGGACAAAGACAGGAAGTAAATCAAACCAAGGCTCAAGAAGAAACAGAGGAACAGGACATAAATAAATAAAATCCCAAACCTCACTGATTACTGTACGAACACACAACTTTATATCAGTGGAGCTGCCGTTAGCTTACTGCTAACGTAGCTGCCGTTAGCTTACATTTACAACATCCACCAACTGAAACAATTCAAATAAAAACACAAATAACGGCTGATTATTAGAAGTTGAGCTGTTTTCTTTTTCTCTGGTTTATTTCAGGGTCTGTTTTATATCCTATAATAACAGATAAACATTACACAATGTCATTAAATCTGTCCTTTTCCTTTATTTAATGTGTTCACAACCTGAAATCCAGTGACAGTAGAGTCTGAGTCGATCGCTCAGGTGAGACTGTTTGAGGAGGACGGTGATGAAGAGGTCGGAGCTGTTTGATCGCAGGTTTCAGTGGAGAAAATACACGACAGAAAAATAAATATTTAACATTACGTGAAGTTATTAATGTTTAATTAATGTTCATTTAATTACAAGTATTTTTTTGAAAGCGACAAAACGAAACACGAACGAGGTCTCGTGCCAGCTCGATTCTTCCGACTTCATTTGACTCCTCGGATCAAATTAGATGTTTTCATAAATGAATTAAACTGAAAAATGATCAAAATGTTCTGGAAAAGTGCAACAAAATTAACATCAGGTCATAATTTACAGGCTAAAGGAGGTCAGAAAATACAAATATTTAGTTTTATTAGGGCCCGAAAATCGGTATGTGTATTATGAATATCAAAAAAGACCGTAACCCCAAACTAAACAGGATTTGCAAGCAACTTTTATTATTTACAAATGTATGTCTGAGAATATATTTAAAAATTATAATTTTTCTGCATCTTATTTACATATTTACTTTTGTGGGCGGTAAACAAAATGTAGTTTTACTTTTACTGTAGTAAAAAGTTACTGCGAGACCCATCCTTAACAATCATCATACTAATTAATATTTTATTATTATTAATTAATTATAATTAATCATTATTATTATTTATTAATTAGTATGACTTGTATTTTATTCTTTATTTGTTCTTTTTATTTATGTATTTATTTTAATATTCTTATTATTAATTATTGTTATTATTATTATTAGTCTCCTGAAGGTTTTTCAGAATGAAGGTCTCCAATAATCTGCCTTTAAGGGTAAATGAATCCTGAATCCTCGTTCAGGGACCATAAACAGACACGTTGCTCTGCAGTCGTAGATTTTACTCACGGGACCAGAGAGATCTGGAGGTGGACGCCTCAGGTGACGAAGACGACGACGGGCTGATGAAGGTGTGGTTGATGGTGCTGACGGAGATGCCGTATTCTTCCACTTCAGCTCTCAGGGAGTCGAAGAAAGCCTGAACGGCGTGTTTAGAGGCTGCGTCTGTAAAATAAACAGATTAACACACATTTAAATATCTACTGACGGGCTAAACTCAGTGTTTCCTCTCTGGAGGGATGTATCTCTCTTTTTATTAATATCTGTAAAGAAAACTAAAGGACATTCTTATTTTTAAAGATTATATTATCATTTAAGAGACCTGAAC